CCCTAATACTTACCAGTACTTTTGCGACAAGTTTCTTGCCGGCTACCAGCTGAATGAGCGTCTCCATAGAGTTCACAGGCCAGCCATTGTCATCCATCATTGGTCCATCTGTTGTGTCTGGTGGCCTAATGTCGGCAAGAAAACAACGTGTGGCTTGAACCGGCAAATCCAGAAGCTCCGATGGAAAGCCCCGCAACCTGTAAAGAAGGAAAGAGGAAAGGTCACTGACTCCGGTACACTATGTGCAATAACGGTTTTTCCACCTGTTTTAATTTGGGAGGGGGGCGGGAGATGGAAGATACGATGTCTCAACAGTAACCGCGTTGAACTCTGTATGGAAAGATCCTGCCTCTGCCCACCCAGGAGTGTGCTTGGGCACTTCAGAGAGAAAAGTACTACAGGAGGAGGGGTGGGAGGGGGGGATGCAATGGACTAGCATCACATGGCGCGCAGAATATAGCTCAATTGGTTAGAGCGCCGGGATTGTGTTGTGCGGGAGGTCGAGGGTTCGAGCCCCGGCCGGACTAATACTCATGGTCTTAAAATAACTGAGGAGAATTTGCTACCTTTCTATAAAATCAAGAAATGGATAGATATTCTAGTCATCTCGGATAAGGACGAATAAACCGTAGGCCCCGTCTCCAGCAGGGTTAGGGGTAGGAGACGTTAATTTCCCACGCACGAGATTAATGTGTGGTGGATGTCTTCCCCTGGGGTGGAATGGGTGGGAGAATGGCCCTGAAAAGCCCTATGGGGAGTGGTCAATTAAGCTATGTACATGTTCAAGTTCCTTCCCAAATATCATTTACCGTCGTTACCTACTCGTCACGTTACTAGGCCAACAGCCATGTCTTATATCGCAGGCTCGCTAACTCTTACAATGTTATTTGCATGCTGACTTCTGCTTCATTTACAATCTATGAGACCATGTGCTTGTGTCCTAACCTGTCCGCCTTAAGTACTTCAGTTGTGCCATAATCCACGTATAGTACCTTGACCTCCAGAGGCCTCTGATGTTCAATTGATTGAATTTGAGCTCTGTACCACATGTCATCTTCAGTGTAACGAGCACAACATAACATTCCTGCAATTAAAGATTTCCCAGTTAGTCTCCAACCCCCTTCGGTTCAACTCCCATTTCCCTTCTTTTTTCATTCTATAACAATTTTACTGATCATACGTAATCAATAGAAGCTGCAGTTACAATGGCAAGTTTCCTGGATAGTTTTTCTCAGTGGTGCAGACGAAAAACTAAGGCAAGATGATTAGTCCTCTATGCCAATGAACTATAATAAATGGCGTAAGTCTTGGTACGTTGTACTTCTTTTCAAATCCTTTCTGTTGTCGTGACTGCGAGTTGCATTACGCAAGTTTCTTTTTCCGGTGATGACAGCTAGACGTCAAATTCGCCCGTTTGAACCTTGAGTCCTTTGATATATGGGACGAGTAGTGGGAGTGTGGGGGAGAGAGTCGAAAAAAAAAAGAATTGTGACAGTTGGGCTTGATGCTGTGCTATTAAAACTGTTAAAATCAAGAAATTGTGAATTTCTTTGTCGGCGAAAACCGATTCCCGACACTGTAGCTCTCTTTTATCTTCCCCCCCCCCTCCCCCTCTCTCCCATTTTAATGTTGCCTGGTGTCAGTTATTATTTTTGAAACATTTTTTTAGTTTCATTGTAGAGAAGTAGATAGTCGAGTCTCTTAAATGACTGAATGGAAATACCTTATATGAACAGAGTTATCGGAAATGCTCCCTAATTTCTTGCAACGTTATTTGGGAAAAAGGGAGGAATTTCAAATAACTCCTAAGGGATCAATTGCAAGACTTCTGCTTTGTTGGGTGTGTAGGGTTGTCGATCACCTACTAAGGGGAGGCAATACCAACTATTTATGCCTCTCTTTGTTAAACAAGGAGTTGAGATATGTTCTCACCTTTCTTTGCGGTCGCCAATGGAGTGTACTTCTTAAAATATTCCGGGCTGTTTATCCTAGCCATAATCTCCTCCAGTGTACGAAGCTCTTCGGTTGCATCGTCCAAGGTAGGGTCGGGATCGTCAGCGTAGCCCTTGTCCATCTCAGTGGGTGGAACCCGCTGAATAAACAGACAGTCAGGTCTCTCTATATGTGTGATAGTGACGTCAAACCGAATTTCCTCCCCAGGGAGTTCCGTTTGCGCCAGTACACATTCAGCTTCTCGAGAACTGATCTTTTGAGCATGCACTCTTTGGTAAAAACAAAAATTGTAAAGTCGTTTATAATGGACAAAGTTGGCTAGCTCAGTAAGTTTAAACAAACATGCCGGACCAAAATCTGTTACGAGAATAAATAGCTTAGAGGATTCAAACCTCAGCCAGTTCCAAATTTATGCTCAGATGCTTAAGGGAATTTTCAATCAAGTCTCGAAATTGATCAGGGATTATTCTGGTTTTGTTTCATCTTGCTCTGTGTTTTGTTAAAAAAAACTCGCACCGTCCTCCAAATCAGACGCAAAACTAAACAACTCGTGACTTGTCACCCGCGTTTCTACCGGTTTGCCTATCTGTAAATTTGAGCTCTTATTGGCTAGTGGCAAGTTAGCTTTCACTCTGATTGACAGTTGTGATTACAATGGTTTTTGGTATTTCAAAACTCAATTGAAAACTGCACAAGTACGTAGAGTACATTGGTAAGCTGGGCCTCAAGCCAAATTAAATACTAAATTGAATACTGCGTGCAAAGCATCGTGCGTACAGAGAAATTACAAATAATTATGTAAATCCCATTCTTCACGAGGTTTTCGCATGAAGCTTCAACAACTGACCTGGTTTCAGCTATTGATCGCTTTGATATAAAAGGCTTGGCTTTTCGAGGCCCTCGCTTTCTCGGGTGGAACTGGGACGATTGGTCTTCATCGCGTAACGTGGGAGATTTCTGAACCAGACCCTTGCTCAGCAGGGTTTGCCCCACATCAGAACCATCCGGAAGAAACAGCTCTACCACCAGAGGGTAGCCAGGCAGTTTATCGCCCTAGAAACGAGACTACAAATAAATAACTACAAAAATAACTTGCAACCAAAGTTGTTCGTGGTTCTTTACTCTCGCACTCTCTTACCCTGATTGTAGCCATACAGTCCTGACCCACGACAGCTTGAGACAGAGCACGGATGGCTTCTGGTGGCCAATGCCCATCACTGGTTTTCTGTAAAGCCAAACAGTCAAACAAACAAACAAACAAAAAAAACAGCTGTGATGTTGTAAACCCTTAGTATTGGGGCGAAGATTACTTCTCAAACAAAGCTCACTTCTACCGGCTGTGTATAGCCTGCAGTGAAGGCGTCTTTTAATGTTAGGGAGAGTTAACGCTACAAGCTCGCGCTCATTTATTCGACCAGCCATACTTGATTTAGGCTTACACTGTAGACGGCGGGGGAGGGAGCGGGAGAGGGAGCGGGGAAAGGCGAGAGGCAATTTTCACTGCCCTACCCCCTCTCCTATCTATCCTTCCTTTAGACTGTCGCTCACCCCCTTGGTACACGTTTCTTTCTCTTCCCAGCCTTCCGCTGCTTTAAAATAGCTATAATTTTCGCGAAGAAAATAATGAGCTTTTGCTTGCCAAAATTACGCCTGTCCTACAGGCTAGGCTGGGTGTAACACAATTCATTTTAAAGTAGTCCTTCCAAGTTTCTAATCGTTTCCATTTAAGCTTACCTGCACCTCACTCGTGTTTTTTTACAGTTACGTTTCAATTTGACGGCCACTTTCGTCGAAAATATCGTAGTTCTCTTTTTTTCAAGAAGTTGTGCATCAAAGCAGAGACATAACTTCGCATGGGTTTCATGCTTCTGATCAAAGTCGATATAACAACAAAAGAACTACTTACAGGTTCAATGCCTCGCAAAACCAGCTGAAGGCATTGGTGAGGAACCTCCATAAACGGCATTTCTTGTCTTATCGCAGACAGGGGCACAACTTCCGAATTTCCAAAGTCAACATAGCTAACCTGAGGAAATACAACCAAGTACGCTATCATTCTTGGGTACGCGATGAAGTACTTCTCTTATATAGTGCAAGAAACGGCGACCTAATAACTTATAGTAACAAACAATCTGAAGGTCTTTGATTACTTCTACTTTATCCTCCACGACTTTTATCACTGAGGCACGATACCACATGCCATCCTCTGCGAACTGAGCAACGCACGGGAGGCCTGGGAACAATGACGTCACATCAGAAGGTGCTCCTGATTGGTTCTCACTTTTGCCGTATCTCTCTAGCAAGGTTGCCATGATGTTTATCAACGTACGGTCACCTGCAACCACGACAGTACATTTAAAACATGGCGCAGTAATGCAACTGAAGACTGAAAAGTTCAGCGGTGGTAACTTACAGGCTAGCTTAATTTGGAGCACTTTATCGATTGAGTGTCGTAAGACCAAAACTCAAGTAAGAAGAAAGGAGAATATTTCAAGACCTAATGAGAATTCAAATAAAAAACAACCAAACTGCCTAAAGCGCGGGAAACCAAGTCGTGATTAGTTTCAATTTTACCTCTGATTGGTCGGGAGAGTAGCGCAAGTTTTCTGCACCAATCACGAAGCAAAGTAAAGTTAAACCAGTGCTATTTCGGATAACATTCGACACTCAATTAAAGAATGTTCTACCCTACAAAAACAGTGGTTAACTCAGGAAGTAAATGGCAACTCCCTACCTATAACTTAAACTCGAGTTACAGGGAATAAAAGCTCATTCGTTTGTTGTATCTTATCGGAAATGGTGTCACAACAGGGACTTTCTTACCTTCCTTCACTTCTTGAGCATACACATATCCATGTGAATCCACAAACGTAACACCGGCTTGGAATTTATTCGTTTCCGGTATTGCTGCTGGCTTGTATTTCAACTCCTTGTAATCAATGGAGGCGCTGGATGTTTCACTAGCTTGAGACTCCGCTTTACTTTCAGACAGAGCCCTGTCTTCTTCCGTTAATGAACTAGCTTGGCTCTCCTTCTCCTGTTCAGTGTCAGGTTCGTTGGCAGTTTCCTGCATGCTTTCTGTAACCTCTACAGTCTGTTCAGGTTGACCTTCATTTCCCTTGTTCTCTCTCGCGTTCTGACTTTCAATTGCTAGTTCATCTGGGCTCTTAACAATGCTGTAAGAACGCTTGAATGAGCATGCAAAAATGCGACACGTGCTGTTTTTCTTGCGTATTTTTCCTGTTTCTACATATTCTGTCTTTTCTGCCTCTTTTTGCTTTAAATAACTGAAATACAAAAATCAACTATACACACAACAGCGAAATAAGTAAAAAATCTCGGCCCACTTAACACTGACAATTCCATGTAAAAGACATCAAGAACGATCACGTAAACATTAAATGAAATAAACCAATAAAACAACTAAAAGCAAAACAAATAAAACAACTAAAAGCAAAACAAACAAAACACAAAAAGTAAACAAATTAGACTTAGCAAAGACGTGATCAACACACAACACTGTGCCAACGATAACTCAAAGTAAACACAAGCAAACTGCCTAAAGCGCGGGAAAACGCGAGCAGCCAAGTCGCGACTTGTGTTAGTTTCGAATCTGATTGGTCGAGGAAGTGGCGTGAGTTTTCTGCACCAATCACAGAGCGAAGTAAAGCAAAACTAAAGCAATTTCTGATCACTTTCGACACTCATTTGAAAATTGATCTGATCAAAAACAGCGTGAGAAGTTATGATCTTACCCAAGTCCAGCCGTCTGGCAATAACCATGTTGCACAAGAAACTGATTGATACAAACATCCCGAGCGCCCGTGGTGTCAAACAGCAAAACCGACATCTTTTCATCAACAACCCCTGAAATTACAGAACAAGCCGAATAAACACGAGAAGCAAATAATGGTATAGCTCAACAAAAGATGGAGATAGGCAGCACAGTTACTTAATAAAGTACACTGTGTAGGGCTACGAGCTCTCCCTCATTTTCGGCGAGACAAGTTGCGAAAGTAAAACAGAAAAAAAAAAAAAAAAAAAAAA